TTGTGGCATGTTGTGGGTGAATGATTCTTTTATTCTCCGAAACCCAACGTGCACAAAATGTTCCAAAACAGAAAGCAAACTTGAAACCTGCCAATAAATATCATAGGCTTGGCATAGGTTGGCTTGGTCAATTATATATATATATATATTTGTGTGTGTTAGTCTGAATTGCCGGGGCTAAACCGTCACAAGATCATCACCAAGCAAGTGACTTACGCGTGGCTTTGCTGGAGTGCGTGTTGAGAGACCTGAACGCATCACTTCGACAGCCCCGTCCTGCTTGATTCCATGGTATTCTCTTCCGTCTGAGCAGTTGCCTTGGTGAATTGAAGCGGTGTCAAGGGGGAATCAATCCAAAGACTGTCGGAGACCTGCAAAGCTCCAAAGTCTCCAGACGTTTCATTAACTTCCCAGTTTACCACAGCATGGGTTTGCTTCCTCTGCCGCTTCTTTTCGATACACTAAAGTATACACTGCACGCGTCTGCACACCGCATCAAAACACTGGACTCAAGGACCTTAACCCTGTGGCAACCTGCACGTGAGCCTTCTGATTTGCCTGTTCGCATGTCCACTTCAAGACCTCTTGCTCAAACTACCTCACGCTCCTTCAAGCCGCCTGAAACTACAAGCGGGCGCCCTAAGGCACATCACGTGTCTGAAAGGCACATTGCTGCATGGCCATAGTGTTTAGGGAAAGGCACATCATGTTACGAAAGGCACATCACGCACCTGGAACCCCATGGCCTCAGCTGTTTCATCCTTCATGTGGAAACAGTGAACTCCCTTGCGGAAGCCCATGCTTGTGACCACCAAATCTTAATGGTTGACCTATGGAACCCGCATGGCCACGGCATCTTCAAGCAACCCTTGTAACATCTTGAAACTATGCATTAGGTATGACACTTCGTGTTGCTCTTGCAGGAGGCCGTAGCAGTAGAAACAACATGTTGGTAGATGATGGGCGGAAATCCCATGGCCACAGCCTCTTAAACCAGTCCTTCATGTGTGGCAGTCAACTATTGAGAAGCCATGACCTCCCAATAGCCCTGTTGCTGCCTTCCGAAATGGTGATGAGATAAATAGTATATATATAATATATACAGATATAGTAATGTATATTAGAAAGTGGGTGTGTATGTTGGGTCCCTCTGCGAGGCCTTCGCGAGGGTTTGCGAGACCTCCGCGAGGCGACGCGCAATACATCTACCAATCAACGGTTTCTCACCAGCTGCCTTTCATCCATTCTTGACCTAAAATGGGCTGATGAGCATTAAAGCCCCCATGCGCAAACAAAAGCTACAACACATGCATAGAAGACTTCCAATTAGCCATTCCCCATGGCCACAGATCATCAACCAAAGACATGTGATCTTGTAAAGTTGACTGCTGGAATGCTACTCCGCATGGCCACAGCCCAAAGATACGTCTTTTTTGAGGATGATACGCCTTAGGGCGTGGACCTAGTAGTCTGAGATGACTCGATTGCAGGCTACTGTTCCCCCCGTGTTTGTCTATCTCCTTCATCATCTTCATCCTGCATCCTGCCCCAAATCATCTTAATCACGTATGCCGGTGCCTCATTGGAGTATGATGTAAATCAAATGCACGAAATGGGAGTACTCAAAAGGGTGAGGTTCTTCTGAGGGGACTCCAGTACAAATTCTGTTTCTCTCCTTCAACCTACCGAATAGAGCTCACTGGTCACTGATTCCAGTGGGTTCAACTGGGCTTAAGTTGGTTCGCCAAGATGCCTGTGGCCATGCCCTGAAGGACGATCGGAAATGTTGAACAAGCTGTGGCGTGACAAATGCTTTCAAAGCCTTGGCTCGAGCGTGGACACCGTCACATGTGTCGCAAAAACTGTCACTGTCTGTGGATTGGGAATGACTTGCCGGGCGGCTTGACGCAAAGGCAGTTCATTCCCTTCAATGAACACTTTCGGTGCATTCTTGCGCTCCAGCCCACGGCGGCCAGCCTTGCAATCCAGCTTTGCACTTCTGAAAAGAACAACATGCAGCACACGCTTAAATTCACTTTAGCAAAGGCCCACCCAACCTTAGCGTAATACACGGCCAAGTTCGCAGCAAGCCCCTGATACATTGCCTGCTGGCAAGCTTACAATCACACCCACTGCTAGTTTCCATGTGTGTGTGTGTTTGTTTTGCTCATCGTGCTTGCTTATGCAAGTGCAATGCGCCGTCCTTGCGGCTGATGTTGCAACAACATCAGTCCGTGTGCGTGAAACATTCATTGCGGAAACTCGGAAACATCTGGAAAACAATAATATTATGTGAGTATACAACTTTTCCCGCCTGCTGAACCTTGATCACTCTGATTGCACCGGCTTTGATACGCTGACTGATTGTCTGGAAGCACAGTAGGCACAGTTCATGGCTGATGAAGTTGATAATGCCCACCCGTGGGCATGGCAAATAAAGAAAATCCACCGGAAAACCACCTGAGTTCGCCAAAGGACAAAGGATATTCGTTTTGATGTGGTTTGCTTCCTTTTCTTTGGTCCGGGTTAGGGAGGTTCCCAGATAGACCAAGTCAACGAGCAACCACATGCCAGCTCAAAGCCACACAAGCCAGCAAAAACCACATAGGCCACCGAAACCCAAAAGCTGCAAAAACTCTCAACAAATAGGTAGGCCATCAAAGGCTGAAACCACTGGGCCCACTCCTAGAAGAAGCCAAACGCGACAGCCACCAAAAAGCTAAAAGCCAGTAGAAACTAAAGAAACCACCAACCACCACACAAGCTACCAATAAGCTGGGCGAAAAGCCAATAGATCACCACCAGCAACCAAAAAAGCAACGATCTCCAACAAAATATGCAATCCATTGTCAAACATCTGCTTGCCGACCAACAAAGACATCAAGAAAGCCAAGGCCCGGACCGGACCAAACATCAGCACATTGGAACTCAAGCATCGAGACCAGGCTGTCGTAGCGATAGTCTTGGGACGTGCGGATAACCAAAGAAGTGGCATCGGGGTCGAGATCCATCGCGAAAGAATTGGCTATATGAGTATTACTGACACTGTCGCACCTGCAGATTTGCCTTTCCAAACTTGCAAAAATGCATCCGCACGCTGCACGTCTACAGCTGCAAATGTTTGAAGAATAGGAGCAACTGACAGGTGTGTAAAAAAGCTAGAACAATTACAGTATGAACCATAACTTGTGTATACATATACAGTATATATATATATACAAACATTTCGGGATTCAGGGGTGAAACGCCCATGAGGGCCCTAGGACGATCCTGCCGCCCACAGGCTTGATCCAAGGGCTCGGGCTGCACAGGGTCGCAAGACGTCGTGAGCGCCATGAGAGTAATGCTGGATGTTGCTCCTTCACAGTTACGTCACGCAAGTACTTGTGACATCTTGTGACCATTCTGAACTACAAGATCAGGGCTTAAGTCACATCAGTCGGCGAAAAGTCACATCACCCCATGGCACACCGCATTGGAAGGAGGTCACATCAGGTGGAAAGATGTCACATCAAAACATGTAAACCCCAGTGGCATAGCGCCACCAAAGCAAGTCTTTAGAAAGACGAAACCTGCCCAACACCTGGCCCATACTGTGGAATTTGCTATTACTGAGTATGTTTTGTCAGGATTTTGCTGTGTGAATCCCACTGTCACATCCATCACATGCACGTATGATTGCAAAGAAATTGCTCATCACACAGGTGACTGGAAATCTGTTGATCCGCATGGAGGTGCCCGATGCGATCGGGTCACATTAGGGTCACACCAGGTTCCTTTCTACAAGGCGCTTACTCTTTCGCACCGATTGCCAGAAAGTTTAGGTATTGTATCGCGGAGGCAGCAGCAGAAGCACACATCCCAGCCCAAACACCATGCCAAGCCCAGAAGCACCCAAGCTCCAAAGTGCACATGGCCACATGCCCAAGATCCAAAGTGCACACAGCAGCACCCTGCAGCGGCACCAGCACCCAAGCTCTCAAGCGCACACAGCAGCGGCACGCTGCAACGCGCCAGCACCCAAGCTCCCCAGCGCACCCTGTGGCGGCACCAGCGCCCAAGCTCGAGCGCGCAAGCACGCAGCTCTTCCTACACTGGAACAACAGCGGCGCCCTGCAGCGGCACCAGCACCCACGCTCGAAAACGCACACATGCAGCTCTTCCTATACTTGAAGTAAGAACCCTAATAGCTCACGCTGTCTGTTGAAAAAACGCGATGCAATGATGCAACAAGGTTGTTGAATCTATCACACAAGCAAGCAACGCATGGGCACAGCACACTAACATCAGTTCGTAGAACAAATAGAACAACAACAAACATCCACAGATAAGCTAACCCCAAGGGCGCACCATTTGATACGACTTTCCTCCAGTTGATACGACTTTGCGAGGCCCCAGCGAAAGCAGAAAAAAGTAGGGAATCAATCGAAGCTAAGCGGCACGCGTGGGTTCCACTCAAGAGCAACCTCTGAGCAATCATAAGAAGTTGTTATATAGAATTGCTAGAGAAATGTGAAGCAACGTTCTTATCAAATCAATGTGCACAACCACATCGAATGAATGCCAAAGGGCACACTCAAAAGGCCACACAGAGGATGGACTAGCAGCAATGCGTTTCCTTCAAAACCTGTGCACCAAAATGAATCAACGTGGTACCCTAAACTACTGAAACTTTGGCACAAACTACGTTCCTTTCAGGCTCCGTTCCGACAGTGCATAAGTATCTTCCATATGTATCCATATGTATATATATATATATCCAGGAATCAAATCATATCCATATAGATTTTGCAATGTATTTACAGTATTTACTTGGGGTAATTTGCCCCAAGGCTGTGAGCATTGACGAGAGAGACCCCTGATGAACATTGCACAGCAGCCAAAGCGTCAGCTCGTTCCACACCGTCACCGACATTCTACGGTATGTATGCGCAGTCTTTGTGATGATGGCATCCCTACAAAGTACCCAAACCCACGGCTTCAAAACTGTCTCACTGTGCCTCGAAAAAGTCCGAAAATCATCTGGGCAAGCACTTCGGAGCTGAGTGCAATAAAGGCATTGACCCTTGGGCGGCCCGGAGGAGTAACGAGCTTGGTCAGTAGGGCCGCCAAACCAGTGATGGCCAAGTTCAACTGAACCTAGTGTGACCAAGTGCCAGGAACACATCGAACATGTTCATAGAGGAGTGTAAGGAGACGCTGCGGCCTACCAACAGCAGCACTGAGGGGATCAGGGATCGTTTGAGATGCTCCTGATGGGCAAAGCAGCATCAATTTTGTGGATGTCTTCGCTCGAAGGGCACTCTGTGGCATCCTTGTTTGGATGATCGACGGTTTAGGTCCCGTCAAAAGTCCGTCAAGGGTCAAATGTTCTTCTGGTCTCCAAAGCACTCCGCACTCAGAAGAAGACCCGTATTCACAAAGTTGTGCAAGTGTTCCGCAACAAATCTCATCAAATCTCTGAATATCCGGGCAGGCCAGCTCGATTTCTTCAGGGTTGAAGTGTGCCTTTAGACAAACAGGACTACAGCTGCGTCAACGCTTTCTCTAGGAACACGTGCAAACGTCACTGCGCTGGGATGTTTTGGGCACGACACATGCACTAAAGATACTTGCAGCACCCCACAGTTTGTCATACAGTACATTAGTCCCAATCAAGTGGCAATGTAGGATCCCAGTGTCAAGCATCATTAGGAGGGCAAATCCTCTCCTCAACTGATTATATAGACTGATCAATAGTGATCGTCCAGCTTTGGGATGACACAATATGGACAGGGACTTGGACAGGGTATATAACCTAATTATAAACATCTATGATCTATGACATTTGACGACATGTGTAAGTCCAAGTTTCCAAAGCACAAGGTGGATGTTGGTCGTGGTTTTCCATGAGAACTGCTATAGAACTGCTATGGTGGGAGAAAAAATGTCTCATGCTTGCCTCGGCACACAGAGACTAGACTGGTGCAGAGCTGCGCGTCAAAACAAGCACGATAGTGATAGTAGAGTCGAGTAAAGAACAGGCACACGCATCAACCAACTAAATCTTTGCAATCGTGTTTCTGTTCTTAATTTGGGCTAGATGCTGTGCAAAATTGACAATGCAAAATCTTGGTGGCTACGGCTACGGCACGGGACGCAGCTGCATGCACTTCAGCAGTTGGGAAATAAGCGCCATGGCCAAGAGTGCCGCTTTCACATGCTTTCACGGAGGGTGCAGTCTGCTGTGCTTCCGCTACCGTGGTTGGTTGTCTAAAGAGCGGCTTGTATTTTGCACAGTGTGGGCTGGTACAACAGGTAGGTCGTTGGCCCCTCTCTCTCTCTCTCTCTCTCTCTTAACATGACATCCCCATGATCCATGATGAACTGTGCGAAGGAGAGCACCTGACTTCCGTGCCGGCCAAAAGAGTGGAAATCCCGGGGAAGCTTCACCTCCACACCCAAAATCACCGACACATGGAGGTCATCTTCCAGGACCCAGCCCATGCAAAACGATGAATATTTGGTAGATAACGCAACGCAAGCAATTATGAAGAAGACATGGTTCAACGCGAAACGCCACCTTCAAGTTGGTGTGCTGGAAAATTGTAGTTTGCAACATTGATGCTGGATGGAGGTTTCGCGTGTCCGAAGTACATCATCGTTTGCAGAATTTACGCATCTTTAAACTGGACGTCGCACTCCTCCCCACACGGATGCTGGATAAAAACCATGGAGGAACTGCCCCAGGGATGTGAACGGCAACTGTGACATGGCCCAACTAAACATGAGCCCTGCAGAGCCGCGCGCCAATGCTTGCGGTAGAAACGTAAGTCATCAGGATGGCTAGCATCATCCACGAGGATGATCTGCAGCAGCAACATGAATTGGAATGCAAGTGCGCAGCAATGTTTAAAGCTTAAAAGCAACCGACCTATGCAATAAACAACTGTTACGACCCTGGCAATGTGAGCAAAACTTTGGCCTCTTCCAGAAGATGCGACGGGGAAGTGTTGAGAACGGACTGAACGGACCTCATGGTTGCTCGCAGCCAGTTGGAACTGTATGATAGTGTGACACCTCCCTCAAGTAGTAGCTGGCCAGGACTCAGGACCCTTTCCACTGAAAACATGTTTTGGGGCGTGTGTGCCGGAGTCCGGCCTACCTAGCCGGCACCCTGCGAAACGGGAGCGGATCAACGCGCCTTTTCTCGCTAAAAGAGGGCTAGCGGTATGTGAACATGTCCAGCTATACAGAAAGCGTGTATCGGCTTGCGCCTCACTTGACTGGGGCCTATTTAGACTTCAGTCACAAGCCAAATCGCGGACACTTGCAGATCCTCAGCTGCAAAGCTGACCTGCTGCCCAACCTGGGGCATGTGCTGTCGCTGTGAAAAACATCTCGACCTTCCAGCCAAAAGATCTTCTCATATGTCCGGGTCGACAGCTCACATTGGATCTCTTGATCCTTCATCTCAGGCCGCGCCGGCACCAGGCTCAAGCCCCCACTCAAGGCCAAATGCCTTCCAAACACCCTGAACCAGCTCCAACCCATGATGCCCGACCAGGATGCCAAAGGCAAAGGCCAAATCAGTGAAGATCCAGTCAAATCCCACTGGCTGCTCTCGGTCTCATTGGGCTCCTCCTGCCGTGCTCCCTCAGCGCTCTGCAGCAAAGTCAACAGGGCAAATCATCATGGTCCGCTTGCTGAACCTATTCAGGGCCACGGCATTGACATGCTCGATGTCATTCTTCTTCTCCTGCTCGCCGGTCTTGATCTCCTCCCTCAGGCCAATGCCCAGCTTCAACCTCTACGCTGTGCTAGGAGTTAGGAGTGAGAGGTGCAGTAGAGAGTGCGGGGCACTGTGCGAACATGTAAGCGCTATGCGAACAAGTGTGCAAGGAACACAAGTGTGCTTCCAAGAAACTGCAACACATCAACGAAAATTCAGAACATAAAAGTGAAACTGACGACGAACTGCAAATCACGATCAAGCGCTCTTCCTTTTTTCTGCGACAGGTGGTGAATCCCACTCCTCCACGAATTGCAAAGGTCCTACGAACGAATGCAACGAAAAGGGATGCTGCGAATCTGGCTCTGCGGTCGCCAGAAGTCCAAGCACCCCCTACGAAGCGGATGGCGACCCTGGGTGATCACCAGGGAGTCTTATCGACCCTCTTTCTCTTCTGACCCGCCGCGCGGAGAGCCTGAGAACGAGCAACAGCGCGCTGGGATTCACGCGCCTGGTCGAAGTCTGACTTGGCTTCAAAGAGCGCATGTATGATTTGAACTGGAAGATCATTATAACTCATGGCGATGCGCTTCGACAAATCGACTTGATCGAAAATCGAATTGGTGATATCATCTGCAATCGTATTCTCTTCTCTCGGTCTCCACTTCAACCTTACAGCTACCCGTGCCCTGGACAGCACAGAAGACAACTGCATGTTAATTAGCATCAGGGGGAACTTAGTGGTGGAACGCTTCACAGAGAGGCATTCGTTACTCCTATTGTCTGTCCCGGCTGCAAGACAGAGCTCTAAAGACTTCCTGGAGGTTGCTGCGTCCGTCCAGCCAAAGGCAACTAAGGCCGCCAATGTCGCCAGGAGCTCTGCGGAAGTCGAAGCCCACTGGGACCCCTTTCCAGGCCGAAACAAGTAAGGAGCCTTCGATTCGTCTAAACAAATCTGGAACCACCTACCCGAAGAGACTTCCCAACCCCCAAGAACCACTGAGTCATCTGTGCACTTTGCATCCGTCCGGAACTGTTCACCGGTGAAGACCCGAGGCCTTCTCGCCGACACCATGTAAGACTCAACCGAAAACTCAGCCACTAAGTACTTAAGGGTGAGGATTACAATCTCTGGGAGCTTCGCTACCGTGCTGGCAGCGGTGGCAGCTGACCATGCAAAGAGGGGAGACAAATGCGGCTTCAACCAGACCAACAGCTGTGCAACAAATACTAACCGGCCAAGGAACTCTGCGAAGTCACGAGTGACGACCACAAATCTCTTCTCCTCAGCGGATCTGATCCACTTGGAAAGCCATTCACCACGCCGCAACGAGATCCCCACCTCATTCAAGTCGTAACGCATCTGGTAACCAACGAACTCGGAAGAGAAACCACCCCGAAACTTATGATAAGCAAAAGGCGTCCCAACAAGTTCGAAAGCGAGGACCCAAACCCAGAGGTGCAAGAACTTCGAAGCCCCCGTGAAAGCACCATGTAAGTCGTCGACATACACTAAGTGGAGAAACCAAGCAGCGCCCATCACATGGCCGACGAAGCGACCCACAAGCGCAAACAATTTCGACCACCAGTATGGTGCACTAGAGATTCCAAAGGTACCTACCTTATTCACCCAGACCGTGGAAGAGTTCGAATCAGCTTTGCATGCCATGTACGGCCAATCCATCTTACGAATCTTGACCAGTCTGTGTGCGGACTTTATGTCAGCCGAAACGCAGAAAGGTGCCTTGCGAGTCTCAACAGACTCCCTCACCACTGAAGCCACCTCAGGTGGGCCGGGGCACTGGATCTGGTCTCTGTACACGATGCGGTTGTTGACCTGCACCGAATGAGTCCCATCGTGTAGTGGTCTGATCGACCCATCAGGCTTGGTTATGGCAGCCATCGATGCAATCCGAATGCGTTCTTCACCGAACTCCTCCTTCAAGACTGAGTACCGTGTGGGGTACATGCGCCCCGCCAGTTCCTCCTCTCGAAACTTCGACTCCAATTCGGCAGTAGACAGCTGAGCCGAAGGATAGTTCGATGCAACTGGGTTGAAATCGGAATCATCAAGCTTTCTGCGCTTAACTTTCTCCGGAAACACCTGCGGCGACCGAGGCAAGGGTGCATCAACACCTAGTGGGACTCCCGTGGCAAAACAATCTTCAGCGTCGACGAGCCAACCAACATCCGGATCCTCGAAAACAGTGAGCCACTGTGCCATGCCCCGTAGTAAAAACGGCTGACCACTATCAATCACCAAAGCATCAGCAGGATCTCGCAGGAGTCCTGCCCACTGAGTTCGCAAGCTTTCCAAAGGTTCGCCGACGAATGGTGAGGCCTGAAACTTGCCAGTCACTAATGCAAAGGCCGCGGACCTAACATCCGGTATGCACTGCCGCACGGTGTCAGCAAGAAGAGAAAAGGTCTCAAATGCCAAACGTTTCATTGCCACAGAGCGCCTTACACCCCTTGCAGCCGGAGGCCATCTTGTGGGTGAACAAAGCCCAAATCCATCTATGAAGTCACGCTCAAACGTGTCCCACTCGACCCTGATCGGGTGACCAGAGTTCAAACAGGATACCATGTCGAAAGCTTCAACTTCATCTGCTTGTGTCAAAGGACGAATGCTCTCAACTGAAGGCTCGCGTACGGGCTCATCCGAAGTCAAACCAACAATGGGTTTTTGAGTTTGGTTGACCATGGAAAAGTTCGGGCAAGGAGGACCACCCTCAGTCGTGCCCAGGTCTTTGCCCTCACCCTTACTGTTGCCAGCCTCCGGCAACAGGTCCCAAGAATTCGATGGCCAAGGCTCAGTGGCCATCGAATTGTTTAGGGGTTCAGTTGCCGTGTCGCCAGTTTCGCCGCCCCCTCCGAAGGATGCGACAGCAACGAAAATGGCCTCAGCAATGAACTGACACATGTCAGGTGGATAGGCCGCACTGGGGCCGGTCTTCCATTGATTGTTCTGCTTTCCTACGAGTTTGCTCTCATGAACATGTCCACAAGACTTTGGGAGCGGCCCCAAGTAGCGAAAGCTGGAATCGAATTGAGGAAAACCGGGATGACAACGCAGATCATTCAGCACAAAATTAGTCATTAATCTGGTGGGTTTGGAGGTGGGGGCTCCAAACTTACATTGGTGAACCGCACAAGTGAAACCACCGCACCAAGCGAATAAGTTGTGGACTTCATCCCACTGCCAAATTGTGCCTGGCACCTCATCATGCACCTTACCTAAATCTTCTGGATGTTCAAGCAAAAACCAACCACCGTGTTGAACGGCGACGGAACATGCGTCGAGACATTTCAAAACGAATTCGTTTGCTTCATTGACAATGGCCTGATTCAGGCCAGATAGCCATGGAAACCCTTTAGGCCATGTACGACTCCTCAGGGGTCGTGGCCCCGGATGCAAACGCCACTGGAAGCGAGCACGTGAAAAAGTGTTGCAAGGAGGGGAGACAATCAAAAACCATCTGCCCTTCCGTAACCGTGCGGTGATCTGGTCCCACAAATCGTTGCTACGCAAGTCGTGTGTCTCAGACCTTTCGATATCGAATTCGATCAACCGTAAAGCGATTCGGCCGTCTGAGTGCATTTTGTTTAAACAAGAGCCCACATCAGCCTGGCGCTTCTTCCCAGCAAATAAATACATGACTTTGACCTCGGGCCGAAAGGGTAGAGGCAAAGCGTGCGGATCAGCCCCCCTGCTGGGGGGAGGAGCCCCGTCCTCCTGTCACGAATGCCCCAACTCCTTGTGCTTCACAGCGGGGTGATCCCCGTAACAACCCTTCACACGGCACTGATGTACCCTATTGCACTTGCCATCACAACTGCCTGAATTGAATGCAAAGCACAGGTCACGGCCGTCTGGCGTCCTCCAAGCCAACTGAAGGCCCTGAAGTTCTTTACGGACCTCACCCTTGCTACCTTTCCCACCTTTGTCACCTTTCCCCCCTTTCCAAGACTTGCCTTTGCCCTTCCAATCACCTTTGAAGTCGCCAAAACCCTTGTAAGATGAACGCTGGAATTTGTTTGGCGGGGGCCTCTCAACGGACATCGCAGCTCGAAGTGCAACCGGTGTGGTGAAGTACGTCTCCTTCAGGTCAGCATCTTTGATCACAGAACCAAGGGCCTCGGCCAATGTGTAGCCTTCACGAATGACAAGTTTGAAAGCTTCTTTGCGCAACTTGTGTTCATATGCCAAAATGATACTCCAATCAGGCTTCACTTTCTGCACTCCCTCACCCTGGAGCGAAGGCACCTGGATATTGTAAACACGATCCCCTAGGATAAAGT